TATGAAAAAATGAACAGATTTATTCAGACACCTTCAAAAGAAGAAATCCAAGTAAACAATGAGCAGATGAAATGTTAGGAGGCTACATGAGCAACGTAAGAGTCAATTATAACCAGTATGAGATGGTGGTTAAGATATCAGACTGTCAAAACTATAAAGACATGTCCCAGGGCCTGGCATAATCTTGACATAGGTCTCAGGTGTGTAAAAGGGTGAAAATGGGAAAAACATTCTGGTAATAAATAATAAAATTAAATATAGTCATAGATGGCAACATTAATTTTGGACATACACTGTCCAGAAGTCCATAAAATTGAAAGATGTTCATGAGGCAGTTTTCAACTGAACATTATATAACAACACCAAACAATTCAATTCCTGAGACATTCCTGGGAAACAGGATGAATGGATGAATGCTATATAGCCATTCAAAGCAACACTCTAGAAAAGAAAAAAGAAGAAAAGAAAATCAGCTATAGCCATAGTGTCAACACAAACACATTTCAAAATGCACAGCCTTGCTGAAATAGAAAATTCATATATGATGCCTTTTATTTCCGATTTACGAATGACAAATATAAAGTTTCTGCTTTGACATAAACTTGGGCTGGCAATATGACTCAGAGAGTAAAGATGCTTGCCTAGTGGCTGGTTGAACTCCTGGGACCCACATCGTTAAGAGAACTGATTCCCAAAAGTTTCACCTAAACCACATACCAAAGGGGGTTGGGGACAGGGACAGACAGACAGAGATTTAAATACAAAAACAAATACAAATAAAAAATGATACTTGACATGTAGATGCATTGTGGAATTATTGCCATAGTCAAGCCAATTGACACATCCATTGCCTCACATGGTACCTGATTTTATAATGAGAACACAGGACTTACTCTTCTAACAAACTACTGCTGTATCATACATTCTACAGGTGTAATTAGTAATGCAGGTATTTGTAATAACAGTATTACTCACACTTGTAACACAATCCATCATAACTAGCATTAGTTTGTATGTTAGATCTGCAGCACATAAAATTCTAAAACTGCCTGAAGTAAGTATCGTGGTTTTGAACAATGCCCACAAGATAATGAGATCCAAGAACAAGACTGAACTAAGCTTGAGTTCACAGACAACTCCTGGGACTGGGCCACCAAAAGCATGTCACCTAGGAGGGGAGAGTGTGATGTTTACTGTATCATTTGCTGGTGCTGCAAGTACGGATGCTCTTTTATGTTTCCTTTAATCATGCAGAGATGATTCGTGGATCCATTGGCATATGTGGGGTAATCCTTCATAGAATGCTTAAATACAGTTTTATCTACTGCTCTTTTACAATGGTAAGCCAGCTTTACAAAGAAGAATAGACAGGGATATTAAAGAAAATCCTATTGACATGAAAAGTGTATGTATATTGCAAATATAAAAGTCATGTTGAAAATAAACAATCAAAACACTGAGCTTGCATTGACAGATAATCCATCTCTTTAAACTTCAAACAGGCTATTTTTCAGTGAAAAGCGAAGATTCTTCCTCCTGCATCTAATCTAAGCCATGTCATTCCATCATTTAGTCACAAGAGGGCCTAGACAGTTAGAAGTGTGTGATCTTAGCTTGCCTAACTTTCCTTCTGTGCACCCGGCACTACTGTCAGTGTAAATTCTGTTACAGAATTAGGTATGTATTCGGTATCAGCAAAAATGTTAAGGAAACCATCAGCTTGCCATTTTGTTTCTGAGTTGCTATGAAAATATAGAGAAACTCCTTGACTTCATAAGCCATTTTGACTTTTAAGGAACCTTTTGAATATAATTGTTTTTGTGTTTTATATGTGCTAATCTTTTTATATGTTGAGAAGATTTATATGTACAAGCCTCTAATCAATTTTTTTCTAAATAACTGTAAGCTTTTGCAGTGCATCCACATTTGTTTCTGTCCACTGATCCTGGTCCTCTGATCTGAAGGTAGCTCAAATAGTCCAGAAATAATTAAGCTGGACTAGTGAGAGCACCAGCTGAAGATGTGTATAAATGTGTGTGTGTGTGTGTGTGTGTGTGTGTGTGTGTGTGTGTGTGTATCACCACAGTTACTGTTTTCAACACCAACTAGGCACTTGGAGAAGTAAAACAAAAATATAACCAAACAGTACCTAACAAGTAAGTGTGCTGGATGAAAAAATAATTTCAACAGATAGGAATACCAGGTATTATTGGAATTTTACCAGAAAATAAAGTTTCTTAGAATAACAGAATTGTAAAGGATCCCAGAAACATTAAATAAAAGAATTAATAAAGACCACATCCTATTTCCTGGTTCTGCACACAGATCATATCTGGAAACAGTCAGAGTATAGAATATTTGTGGGGTTCAGATAGAGGGAAGTTAATTATTTTGCTTTCTCCACTAGCACAGCCTCTGCTCATTTGTTTAAGCAGGAAAGCATCAGCTACAGCAAAGCAAGAAAACTGTTATTTACAGTTATTTTACCTTAGTTTTGGAAAATAATTGTAATAGCCAATGAATGTTCTGTTGTGACTTATATACTCTGTAAGAATAGAATGATTTTTTTTTTCCCATCTGTGATCTTAAAGTGCTGAGATCGGTAAGCATGACATTTAAATCTCAGCTGCCATTTCCTTCCCCTTTTCAAACTTGGGAGGATTTGATTACTTACTTCCTTTTCTGCTTGTTGCCCTGAGCATTCTCCTCTGTCCATTATTGGCTCTGCTTACACATGTCCTGGGGTTGTAATGATGGATAGTCAGTGAAGAAATCAATTTAAAGAAAGGGGAAAATATCATATCAATTTACTATCATGTATATATTAGCCCGATAGTACTTAGACACAAACCCTATAGATTACACAGAAATGTATTTGTTCTTGTTTATACCATAATAAATTACAATCAACTGCTCTCTCACGGTTTTGTTGGTTGTGCACTCCCCATCATTTCAGGATGATTTTCCCATTCTCTTCTGTGAGGTGGAGGTGTGGCTGATTTCTGGCCAATGGGTGGTGTATAAACTCCCTTTGTGTCCTTGCACTCTCTTGCCTTCTCTTCCACCTGGACACAGATGTTGTGAAAGTGTCAGCAGGCTGTAATCTTCCACCTATCTCTGGGGGGAAGCATGTTCATCTTATTTGAACTGCTGGAAGAATTTACTCTTTAAGCTTGAAGGTATGGAGTCCCATTTTCCTTGCAAACACTTCAAGGGGCCATAGCATTTCTTCATTCTTGACTCCTCTGTCTTTCTTCTGTCATATGTACACAATCTATATCTATATCATCTATATCTATATACCATCTATATCCGCAGTAAATAGTTTTTTTCCTAGATTTACTCTTAGGTATTTAATTTGTTTAGGAGATAATTCCTTATAATATGGCATATAATCAATGCACATAAGTAAATCAAGAGCCTAAGAAGGGGGATGATGTACTAATGGCAAAGAAGGTTGAATAGGGGACAATACAGCATGGGACCCTTGTTCTTATGACTCACTTGATGGCAAGCACTGCATCAGGTTCTGTATTTGTGCCATCTTTGTATACACCACATCAAAAGCGGCCATGTAGAAGGCACTGGGGAAACATTAGCTTCTCTTGAATTAAAGCAGCATTTACAGATTTTTACATGCAAGGTATGGGTGTAAAAATCCCTCGGTGTCCTCACAGCCTTTAAATACATTGCTTTTTTAAAAAAACTAATAACATAATTAATGGAAAACTTGAACCCAATAAAATAGAACAGTTATTCCTGTACTATTTGCCTTCAGCCATCATCACTTCTGAGAGTAACCGAGGCTTTTGAAAACAAGTAACTATTTCTGATTGCGAATTTCAGGACACACAAAAGAAGCTCCTTATACATATAGAGACATAGTAAATTATAGATGAAATGTTTATTGAATGATAGAAAATCACTGAGGTCTTCATTCATTTTCAGTATTTATGGTGTGAAACTGACAGCCCAACACAAGTACATAGGAAAATAGAATAAAGGCCTTGAAGACCTTCTGAAGCAAGTCTTTGTTTTTTTCAGTTCTGAGGTGTTAAACATTGAGTTATCTTATAAGGTAGTAAGTTTCGCTTCGTGGAAGTGGTGATAACCTGAATGAGAGTGTGCCCCTTAGGGAAGGCTCAACCATTGGAGTATTTGGTCTCAAGTCAGTGGTGCTGTTTGAGCAGCTTTAGGAAATGTGACTTTGCTGGAGGAGGTATGTCACTGCAGATGGGCTTTGAGGGAAAACTTCCCACCATTCCTAGTGCACTCCCACTGCTAGGTGCTGGGGATTTCAGCTGTAAACTCTCTAGGCTTGCTGCTCCAGCTGACATGCCTGCTCTCTGCTACACTTCCCTGCTGTGATGGGAAATAACTCTCATCCTTCTGGAACCCCAGTCCCAAATAAACCCTTCCTTCTACAAGTCGCCTTGGCCATGGTGTCTTACAACAGCAATAGAAAATTAATACAAAAGTCAGCAAGCAGGAAATTGCATTATTATAGTTCATTTCTTCAACCAATACTTGGCATAAAAAAAAAAAACATCTATGCAGACATAGATCACATACAAAGCATTTCTAAGTGAAAACATCTAAGTGAAGGCAGGGGAGATAGTCTTCCTCCAGGTCAGTTTTAGATCTATTTATTTTCTTTTGGCCAACCATCATCCTTCCTCACAGGAACCATTCAGAATCACAAGAGCAACAAGAGAATGCATCGACAGAAGGAGAGAGGTTTATCATTAGGTCATAAGCAGTTTAATATGCTAAGATCTGGGTTTTCATGTGAGCAAACTGATTTTAATCAGCCTCTCAAACTTTAATTTTCTTGACAACCTGGCAGAGATGAGAATGGTAACTGATAAACACTAACTATAATGTTTTGTTCCCACTTCTGAAGAGAGCCCCAGGACTGCAGAAAGAAAAAAAAAAAAACACAAAAGTAATTTTTAAAAACTTGGACATTAGTTTGAAATATTCTCTATGGTATGTTACAGGAAAGTAGTAGATCATTCAAAAAAGCGTTTTGGTATCCCCATGGATCGGATTGGTAGAAACCGGCTTTCCAGTTCCAGAGGCTGATGGATTCTCTTCCTGAGTTCAGTTCCAACAAGAAGCCCATGGGTGAGTGCTGGAAAACATCTCACTCTAGATGAATGGATTCATCCTTACCTGCAAATGTCCCACTTGGATTTATTTTTTAGCTCATATATACACATTTGCAAATATGTCTTTGGTCAATTAATGTACTCAAGTTACATAATTTATGGGACTTTTAGAAATGAAACAAACATCCTACCAAGACTGTCCAAACTTTTGAGACTAAACATGGCATTTTTATCTATTTGCAAAGTTCACACTCAACATAAAATCACGTTTAAAAATTCACACACACACATGTACACACCAATCTTATAAAAGGTGAAGCAAGTTGACAGTTTGTATTGGGCTGCATTCATAGATACCAGGAGGCATATGCAGCTAAGGCTGCAGGCTGGAGACACTTGGGGGACACCTAGATTTTATCTTTCAAATAGAAAAGTCACCCATGCATATGCTTCATAGAATAAATTTAATTATTTTCATCCAGTCCTGAGCAATTATCTGTTAACATTCAAGGAAGGGTTCAGATTCCATTTAACATATTTTCTAGTTAACATTCGTTATTAATGTTGCATAGCACAGAATTCTCTGAGAGCCAAGAGGAATGCTGCCTTCTGAATAGCGCCACCTTCAAATTCATATGGAGCTCTTTCCCTCACATCTACAAATAGACTAAATGTGATCACTCCTTGGGTCTGCTAACAACTGCTGCACTTATATTTGAGCATCCATTAGCTAATACCTATTAAAAGCCAAGTACTTCCTAGAATCAAGGGCACATCTTCCAATTCCCTGATCCATTAATATAACCCTGAGATTGATATAATTCTCACTGATTACTGCATATTATTTTGCCACTCCTCATTATCACATACTTTAATAGCTATGAAATTCTGAAAAATGTTCAAGATACCCAACATTGGAAATTCATTTTCATATAAACTTTGATACAACGGCACTCTCGACAGAAAGAAGATAGTGCAGCTGTTACCATGTCCAATACCGATGTCCAAGCTTGTGCATTAACATACCCTGAACAAACTTCAAAGTGTCTTCACAAGTCTGGTTCTTACCACTCAAACCTGTAGACAGTTCTATGATCAGAGAAGGCTTAGAAGAGAATTTAACATCGCATATTTTCTCTCTTTCTATCAGTCACTGTGGTTCACCTGCTCAGTCCTTATATTTTTGAAAACTCCCACCATTTTCACCAGTGTGACCTATTCTCTGGCTCCAGGCTGTTGATGTTGATTGTGAGTCTCACTGGTCATACCAAAAACGACCGTTTTCAACATTTATTCTCAGATATTTGTTTCCTCATGTGAAATATTGTGTTTTGAATGGGTAACAAAACCAATAAAATAGCATGTAATTTTCATTCATATTTCTGTTATTTCTAATACATTTTTCTTACGGTCACAATATCCCTTTGAATTAAACAGTACGTGTAATTTGTACAGCATAGCATTTACAAAATAAGATTCTGAGCGTTGTTAAATAATGATCACACAGTTAGATAATTAGATAATTAAAGATTAGAGAACATAAAGTCTTGTGTAACCCAAGCAATTAAGAAATGTGAGCTGCTGCTGGACATTTCTATAATCTCCATCGAACTATTCTTGTGCAGAGCAAGATGGAGAAATGAGCTGTTTCACCTTCCAGGCCAGTGTTCCCTTTGTGACCCATCACACTCTCTGGTTCCAGGCTGTTGATGTTGATTCTGAGCCTCACCGGTCATTTTTGGTCAGTCAGTTGGTGCCATGGATCAAACACAAATGTCTTTTATATGCTAGGCAAGTGTAAAACCCCTAAGCTATACCTCCAACCCTAACTTGTCACATGGTGGCAAGCCACAGAGAAAGCATCCTCTGACCATCTCTGTTTCACTTCTGTAGAGATGAAGTGCTTTCCCTTGCAGAAGGCTTGGCTGTGGGTTTTTACCTTCTGAGTTTCGCTTTCAGTTTTCACACTAAGTGAAACTTCCCCCTAGTCAAAGAAAATTTGCTTGGTTTAAGGTCAAGTCTATATTTAGCTGCTGGAAACTAACAAATCTCCAGAGAAAATGCCAATTTCTTCTCTGTTGTATTTTGGAGAGGAATAAAATCTGATATATATATATCTGATTTATTCTAACCATCACTAAAGTTTTAAGATTGTAGAAGTATTGACTTACGCAACTTACATTAAGTAGGTATTCTGCCTGCACTTTCATAGCTTTTCTATGTGCAATTAGAAACTGCAGTATTGAAGTCAGAATTGCCTACCTAATGATGTTAAAAACAGAGCCATTGACATGGCAGTCTCTTGCTAGCACTTGAATTAAGACTCCCTTTTAGTTTTGTGAAGCATGTATCATTGTTTTAAACTGACAATTTTATTTTACCATGATATTGACACCATTTTTCATATAACTTAGTAGAACCCTGAAATGAAACAGGAATTTCACATGTAAATGGGAACATCAGGTTACATTCTTGGTATCAGGAGCAAAATACACAGTTTTCAATGTGTACCTAAAATTAAAGAAACTGTAGTCATTTTTCCTTGTATTTCCTTTCTTTTTCATGACAACATCTTTTGATATAAAACCTAACAGAAATAGGATACTGTTGATATCTGAAGAAAGAACTGAAAAATAGAATTTTCACTAACACTTGAGCATAAGCTCTTAGCATACACATCACAATGGTCTTTAAACTCACAGTTATTTGAAATTATCATTTTACCTTATGGTATGAAATAAATCAATAAAATACGTCATGTGACTAAAAGCTGACATGCGGTACCATATGATTGAAGGATTATATCATCGCTGTTGAAGTTGTGGATTTCCATGTGATTTACAGAGTACAATAAACAATTTTCTAACATCAACTTTCACATTTACAGATAGGACTTACTTGCATGAGACGGCACAGACCTACAGAAGATGCTTCAGTGAAGTTCTTCATTACTCCTCCAGGTTAAACTGTTAAGGAACTGACCTTCTGCAAACCTTCCCGAAGCTTGAACCTCAATTCATCACGTCATACTGTTGCCTTGGATGTAGTTAAGTTGTGTAGATCGTTTCAGTGCATGAATATATTTGGAGATATTCTGTAATGATTCATAAATTGTAACATGAACCCAAACATACTTTTTAGAATAATAGTCAACCATTATTCACTCTTATGGCGTTAATGTTTTCACAATTCAATTACTCAATGTGCTCTCTAGTAACCTCGTATTTAAGTATCTGATGATGTAAAGAAATGAGCATGTTTAGAGAATCCATAGTGATTTATACAAGGCTTTTTGCTTGTTCTCAAGTTTGTCAAATTGTTGAAATTTTCAGGTCCAAGCTTAGAAAAAAAAAAAAAAAAGCAACAAATGAGTATTTGATTCAACCGTATCAGAAGACTGTAGCGAACGGAAATAAAGTTTGAGTAAGCTGAGCAATGTGTTCTCTGGGAACTAATAACTAAAAGTTAATATAAGGAAAGCTAATATAATTGGCCCATGTGTAATATTCCACATAACTCTGAATTTAAAAGATTTATCTGAAATGAAGTTACTCTTTTGTTTACATTTCTCACCCTTGGAGTGAATTGTACAAAGGTTTCATATGTTAGAAGCTTTTTTTTACTTTTTCTCTCCATTAGATGTTTATAAGCTATCAGTCTGATCAAATAGTGTTTTGTGCTTTGAAAAAGGGGGTATTAAAATCAACATTAGCCTAAAACATCTCACATTAAAAGTTTGAATTTGAGCTTAACTGATTTTCTGTATTATTTTAATTAAAAAATAGGCTGTGAGAGCAAAGAACACAGATCAATGGCAAAATTCCTGCCTAGAATGAAAGAGACAAATTTTCTGTCTAATTAGTACAATGGCTCATGCCTGTCATCCCAGCACTGGGAAGTAAGGGCAGGAAGATCCGGAATTCAAGGCCACCATCAGCTAAGTAGAAAGTTTAAGGCCACGGTACGCAACATGAGACCTCTGTTCCAAAAGGAGAAAGAAACAGGGAGAGAAAGACAGACAGAAAGACAGAGAAAGAAAAGACAATTATGCAATCATGTCCATTTTAAATAGGTCACAACATATTGATCTGTGCTTCATTCTGTGTAGCGAGTGCACTTCTCTCATAATATGAACATCAATGAAGAAAAAGAGAAACAATCTTCTTAACTTAAAATTACTTTACTTCATAAGTCTTAGGTTTTACCACCACATTGGAAAAAGTAGAAAACTAAACAGCAATATTGCAGCTGAAATGGAGTCTTCTTAACCATAAATTAAAACATTAGTTATGTTGATAATGTGATGTCATTTATGTTAATACAATATATATCAGTTAACTTAACTATATTTCCCTGGTACGTCACCAGTTTAAAAAGTCATGATTTAGAGATTTATATTGACCTTTGACTCTTTGCTTCTAAATAGAGATACACAGAATAATTGAATATATAAATATGAATTTCTGAGTTATACTGTTAATTACATAACCAACACTGCATGTGAGGGTGTAGTATAGGCTACAACGTCTTAAAATTTACACAACACAAAATCTATCAAATTGTGTACTTTTAATCTTCACATTATTTGGGAAATTAAATTTCTTAATTTATTAAAAACTGAATTGAATCTTCTAAAGCACAGCAGTGTCATTCTGTTTGATGCCTAAGTTTCAATGCACCTGGAATATTATCCAACTCTTCCAAAATAAATAAATGAAGGATGAGGGAGGAACGCAGAAGTTTTAATCTTTTTTTTAATAGCATTGGGATTGTGCTCACAAATCTTGTAATACATAGAGCTTCCAATTCTTGTCACCTCATGTTTAGTCGTGTGTGTTTGTGTAGCTCCCGAAGGGCACACTAGCATGTAGTTAAGCTGGTTGCTTCACTTTCTCCTTGCTTTCCTTTTTATTTAATGGGAGATCTAGTTTTAATCCAATCTGTTATCTATATTTCCAGATTTTTTAAAGCTTTTAAGTAGACAATACCATTTATAGGTAAATTTTATGCCTAAATATTTAGTTAACAGACACTGAAATTTATTATCTGCAAGCTCATTCCACAGCAGCTGTGGCTAGAATAAGAGCCTTGTGGTCAGAGGAGCATCATCTGTGCCCTGTGGCTTGTCCTTCCTGACAGGTGAAGGAAAGAGGCATCCTCTGTGGTCTCAAAGCGGGGAAGTCATGTCTCAAAGACTTGAAACGTGTGGATCTTGTTCTGGTTTTCATCTGTCAGAGGAAAGGTTGTTTGTTTATTTGTTTGTTTGTTTAGAATAAAATACCAGCCATTTGTCTTTGCCTAATGGGCTGTAAACCACCAGCCTAACTTAGTGCACAAACACACCGACTCATTAAATACCGCACAATTAGTAGTACGTAGACAAAAATGCACTTCTCAGTATTATAAAGAAAAAAGAATGGATGTGACCCGCATCCCAGCGCAGTCATTCATATTTCTTAATTATGAAGTTACTTTGAGAATGCCTCTGTGCCAGAATGGATGTCAGACAAGAGTAAGCTCAAACTCTGAGCCTTGAATTCATTTAGCAGGCTTGTTCATCTATAAGAAACAAACAAACAAAACAAAACAATGTAGTGATGGGAAATTAAAACTAAATAAGGAAAAGCCTATGCGTTCTGAACTCAGAGTCTCACCTGTTCGACTAGGCATACAGAGTTACAAAGAGTTCCTGGTGCTCTGCAGGAAGCATATGTAATGAATAAGAATCCCAAAGCAAGTCATTTTATTAACCTTTTCTTCATACTATTTTTGAGAAATCCAGTATTACTGTCTTCTATACTTAGGTAAGCTAAGTATCTCTGTTCCTTAGTGGTGTATTCATTCTTATAATTCTCAGTGGCCAACTGTCCTAATTAATACAGAAGAAGCACAATGATAAAAATGAGAAGGAAGCACCATGCATATTTTCCACGTGAATTGAGACAATATCATTTATTTTAACATTCTAAGATGCTTTTTCAACATATTTTTTTATTGACAGCCAACAACAGTACATTGAGAGAGAGAGAGAGAGAGAGAGAGAGAGAGAGAGAGAGAGAGAAAGAGAGACAATGGACTTCTACAAAGCATACAATAGATAAAAAAAAAAAAAACCTCTCCCAGTTTCACCTCTAAAGTCATTTTAATGGAGAGTTCCATCCAAGAGGTCACCAGGTGTCAATCTTCACCACACGAGCATTAATCAAACCGTAACCCAGGTGGCAGAAGTTTAACAAAGTGAGAAAAATGATGCAAGTACAAGGGTCAGTTTCTTAACACTTGAAACAAATGTAAACTTTAAGCAGAATATACGTATATAATTTTTCTAGTGTTCTTTCCTTTTGTATATTCAGAGAGGACTCAGACACAGTATTTCCAAAAGCAAGCTAAAAAAGAAAACAAAGCACGTTATTAAAAGGATTATTTTTCAGTCTTCCATTTGCATAAAATAATCTATGTGCTCAAGGAAGAGTCAGAAACAATTTAAAAAAATTTTGTTCAATATGGTAGTTGCTAGATTTATGTGGACTTAAAATTAAATAAGCTAATTGTAGTATTTAGCCATAGGTCTTCGCTGTACTGGCTAGAAATATGTGACGTTCACAATAACACCTTGAGGCCAGTGACTATCAGAATGGGCAGTGTAAATCAGAAAATGGTCCCACTGTGAAAGTTCTGTGGGGCACACTCTTGCATTATGGTGTATGTTACTACAATCCAAGAACCTCAGGAGCTGATCTGGAGACTCACACTTCTATTTCACGTTTTGTATAACAGCAAGGCTAAGGAGGACATAGTATAAGTAAAAGGGGGAGCTACATGATGTTCTACTTATTAAGGGAAGAAAATGGGAGCTTACTGATCAGTCACCTTCCAAATTACCAAATGATATTTAGGTAAGGTATTCTTCATCACACTGAGCCTTAATGTTCTGATCATTAACTTCCTTCAGACAAATAAAAACCAAATTTAGCATATTTCAGTCTTCAGACACATCAGTGAGTCATTTTAAAACTTTTCAGCAGGAAGAGCTCTCCTTCTGAAAACTTGATTTCGCTCCTGTGTAGGCAGGAGTCTATTTTCAGGTCTGAGCTGAGAACTGGCCCTTTAATCCATTCTTCCTTTAATAGAGTGTTATGGAAAGTCCTCGTCACCGTGCAGTTTGTTCCTTTAGATATCTTTGGATATCTCTGTCTGGCACAAAAATACAACGAACACAGAGCCAAGACTTACATCACATGAGCAGTGCAGTTAAGTCTGAAATGGAATACAGTTTGGGGAAATATTTTGGGCCTGGTTGAAAGGGACTACCATCAGTGGCACTACGAATACAGTCAGCTCTTTTCATGCAAATCATCTCTCAGCTTCATGAAGTGAACTCCCTTCCAGCTTAACTGCTGCTGGCCCTTGAGGTCTGTTCAGTGCTGAGCACCGTTGCTTATAGCAGCTCTCAGCTGGCTATATTCGATTTGTTAAGAAAATTATTTCAGTAATTGAAAATTCTTACTGTCTTCAGCAAGATTTGGGCGTCTATTTCACCTTCTTACATGGCTGCTCATAATGACTACTTTTTAGATATACCCATCCTACTGACTTCATGAAGAATGTGTATTTTTTCATGAGCTAAGCTTGCCATCTACTCCATGTAGTCATCACTACAACACCCTCTTGTTTGCTAGCACATAGGAGCATGCCTTCATATCTCTGCTTAAAAACAAAAGACTTTACTGGATGCTAAAATCACCACAAAAAAAAAAGTGTTCTTCAAAAGAGCTGTCTATACACGTAGAACTCTATGTGTAGCTGGCTTTCCAGCTGGCACAGCCTAACTGGAAAACTCACGCAGCATTATGAGGCATTGTCTCAAAAAATATGGTTGACAGTGTCTAAAGAACACCTGAGATTATCCTCTGGCCTCTACACAAACTGTTGTATGCACTTGTGTTCATATACACACATGAATTCATATACACTCAAGACAATGGATGTTGTCTGTGTTTCCAATTGTTTAATCATAACCCTTTCCGTAAAGAGTTGGCCCACTTGCGATGACCTTTTTGTTTCTGTATTCATCTGGAAGGGCTTGGCTTTCACCTTACTGGCGCTATCATAATTCAGATGCAGTGAAGTGTCTTAAAGTTTGTTTGTACTTGGCTTCCATGAATTTTGTTCTGTGCTGCTTCCTTCCTTAGCATCTGCTTCTGATCAACCCTTGTTGCTTATTTTCTCTCATTTTCACAACATCTGCTCTTTAACTGGCATGAAAGTTAGTTCTTGAATAGCATCTCTCTACAGTATCACTCCACGGATGATCTCATCAAAATTCCAGATGTGAATTCATCGATAAATGTCAAATTTATACTTTCTATCTGAATTGCTTTCCTAAGTTTCAGATTCATCTATTCACTACCAGCACACCTTTGTTATCCATGACATAAGTCAAAATATCAGTACATGGACAGGGTTTATAACTATCCATTATGCTCCCTGATATCCTCAACTTCACACAACCTCATTCCATTAAAATCGGGGTCACTCAAAAAGTTCTAGAAGGAAAAGTCCTTTTGCCCTCTTTTTCCCTTATTTACCCTGTATGAGGACACTGGACACTGTGTCCCAGATAGTGTATTGACAAAGCTCTCTGTCTGGGTGCCAAACACTACCAATTAAGCTGCCTTAATCCAACTTTTTAAATAAGCCTTTTGTGTTGGAGAAAGTTTTGATTTACAGAAAAGTTGGAAATCACTACAGAGAAATTATGTATGTCCCTTTGGTTATCATCAATGAAACAAAAACAACAACCAAAAAATGTTGGGTGAAAAAAAAAAAAAAAAAGAGGAGCGGGGACAAATTTTTGTTCGTGGATGGAAGGACTGTAAATTAGCCTACTTCTTATGGAAATCATTGTGGGGCTTCCTCAAAAAAAATTATAAGTCAGAGCTGTAGACATGGCTTAGCGATTAAGAGCACTGCTCTTAAAAAAAAAAAATAGCTGTGCCTATACTGGGTAGCTTACAACCATGTTTACATCCAGACCTTAGAGATTTGATGCCTGCTTATATACTGCAGATGCCTGCAGTATCCTGCAGATACACAGAGAGACTCAAACATATCCATATTATTTAAAAGTTTTGAGGTAGTCATTCTGTGGATCAAATTATGTACTTGTTTAATTTCTCTCTCACACACACACTCATCCACATACACTTTTGGAAGGTAGTAGGAGAAAACGAGTGAAGCACAAAAGAAAATACAAAGTTGTGCTTAGCCATAAATGCAAAAATTCTATCATTCCCATGTAAATGAATGACACTGGAGATGATCATTTTAAGTGAAATAAACAGATTTTAAAATTGCATCAAATAGCAGCTGGAATAAAGAGCTCAGTGGAAAATCAAATGAAGAATGTGGAGTTTAAGGACTATTTCAACAGCATTCTACAAAGTTGGTATAAGCTGTGGATGACAATTAAAAAAATAACTAAAATATTTAAGAAAATTAAATATTTGAGTATAAAAATAATTGATAAGCTTTCTTGGTTTCTTTTTTAGTCTTTTTAAAAATATTTATTTATCTATCATCTATCTATCTATCTGTTTATTTATTTGTTACAATTTGTTTACTTCGTATCCCCTCTGTTACTCCCTCCCTTGTCTCCTCCCAGTCCCATCCACCCTCCCTCTTCTCCCCCTATCTCTCTCCCCTATTCCACAGATAGGGGAGGAACTCCTCCCCTTCTATCTGATCCTAGCTTATCATGTCTTATCAAGGCTGACTGCATCATCTTCCTCTGTGGTCTAGCAAGGCTGCACCCCTCAGGGGGAGATGATCGAAGAGACAGCCCTGTGTTCATGTCAGAGACAGACCCTGTACACCTTACTAGGAAGCCTATTTGGAGACTGAGCAGCCAATGGGCTTTCTTTGAACAGCGGGTCTAGGTCCTCTCCATGCATAGTCCTTACTTGGAGTATTGGTCTCTGTAGGTGTCCCTGGGCCCAGGTGTTTGGGCTCTGCTGTTCTCCTTGTAAAGTTCCTTCCAGATCTTTCTATCTTCCTTTGCTATTATTTTGTTTGTTTGTTTGTTTGTTTGTTTTGTTCTCTTTTCTTTTCACTAAAAAAGGAACCTTGACCCTTTAGATGAAAACTGTCTCTGGTCGTTTAAGACAAAAGAAAACTTGTACCTCCAGCTGTAAGAGTTAGAAGAGAGTCAGAAATATTTAAGATTATTATATATTTTATAAATGTTTAATAATGTTTTCTCAAGGAAATATCCTAAGTAAGACATATGTCCACGGTTAAGAATGAAAAATCAAAAATATCTGGAAGGGTAAAACAATACAATAGACAGAGAAATCCTAGAAACCACCAATTCCTAGGAGAACCCACCTGTCATTCTCAGAGTTAGGGCATGCCCTCAATAGCTGGTCAGCAAAATTTCAGAACGGCTAAGGATATCACTCCAGATGTCTCTGTCTTCTCTTCTCCTTCTTGAAGGAGATAAGCGATTGTACTTATTTCCCTGTTCCTCTCGCAATGATTGTGATTGTGTGGGGTAAATAATCTGGCTTTTTATTCTGTGTTGCCACACTGATCCTGATGGGACATGCCCAGGATAATTAGTCATTTATCCCTTAGGTCACTGAGGTTGGGGTTGTGCAGTCCCTTCAGGAATGGAATGAGTATAGTATAGTACACATATATATTAAAAAGCAAAGGATCTGGTGGAGTGCTAACTACATACTATGTGGACGTCCTGATAGGCACTATTTTGACTTGTCAGTATGTTGGGGCAGCCCGTGACTAATCCTTCTAGTAGTAGGAGGAAGTATAACTTTGGAACTGAAGCAGTTCATAACCTGAATGTTGCTTCTGGGCTCTGTATTTGCCACGAGCATCCTGGAAGCAGTTAAAATAGTCTAGGTGATATAGTGGCAAAACATAAAGATGCAGAGCTATATGCTTTGAACACAGCTATACTAAGTGTCTGAGACATGAATTAACACTAAATTCACAGCAGAGTTTAAGTTACACTAATGGAAAGTCCAACCAATCTGTATTTCTACCTTTCTTCAACATTTCTCCTCTTCTCTGCTTTCTCCTCCTTAAATATAAGGAGGACATACAAGGCTTGACAAATGTAAATTAGCCTATTTCCTACTTTCTCAGAAAGTTTTTAATACTATTTTCTTTTCATTAGTAATATTGTAACTAAATGCTTTTACTGTAGTTATAGATAAATTGGGGTGGTGATAAGAAAAGTCAAATTCACCTTAATAAATTCACATCCCTAATAAACTGGAAAAACACATAGGATATTTACTTTTTCAAAAATCAGAACCAAGTTGGCAAGAAACAAGGAAATCCTGGGAGAGCTATGGAAACCCAGTGATTCAAAAGAATAAATTTCATAAGATTACATGTTCGAGTCAAATCTTTGTTCATAACAAATATTGTAGCAACGGAGCTTCTATTTATGTAAAGAGAAATTAACTTGTTTCAAACTTGGTTATTTCTACTTCCATTCTCCTAGATTTAATTGTTAGGCCAAAATAAGAAGAGTAGATGAGAGTTTTAATCACTAAGGACTTTTTTCATTTAAACCTGAAAAGTATGACCTAGTTACACACTGTTGCTGCTATTACAGGATCAGGTACATCTGTACTGGGACACTACCATTAGACTCTTTTCCTTAAAATAAATCTCTGACCTTTATCTCAACCAGAGGCCAAAAAATTGCCATTATTATGTCTTTATTCAGAGAGATTTTTACCAAAACAGTTTTTTGGAAGTCAATTTTACAAGTAAAATAAAAGCTCACCTCGTTTATTAGGTTGGGAAGGGGATAGCTTCTCTATAGCGTTGGATAGCTCAGCGTTCTTTGCTTCCATAGTCCATTCTTTCCGCTTCTTTAGTTATGAGAAATCAAAGAATAGGAAGATGAAAAGAAAGAAAGAAAAAGATTTAGAAACAGGGAGGAAAAAAAAAAGAAAAGTTATGAGAAAAAAATTAAGCAAGAATAAATTAAAAAAAAAAAAGGCCCTAAGACTGGCATTCAGGGGTTGTGTGGAATAAGCATGAGAGTTAAACCAACATTGAAAAGAAAGAGGTTGGAGTCATGTGAATAATAATGGCTTCCATAGGTGCATATATTTGAAAGTTTGCTTCCCAACTGGTGGACTGTTTAAGGAGGATTAGGAGGTGTGGCTTTGTTGGAGAAGGTATGTCACTAGGGATAGACTTTGAGGTTTCAAAAGCTCATGTGAGTCCCAGTCTCACCCTGTCTGCCTGCTGTTTATAGCCCAGAAGTGAGCTATCAGCTCCTGCCACAGCACCATGCCTGCCTGCCTGCTACAATGTTCCTTGACATGGTGTTCAAGGACTCACCCTCATATATTATAAGCAAATTCCCAATTAAATGCTTCCTTTTATAAGTTGCCTTGGCCATGGTATCTTTTCCCAGCAATAGAACTGTACCTAAGACACACTTTGTTAATAAATCAAGTCAGCCTGGGTATAGCCTAGGTAGCTAGACTTAACATGATGTGCCTCATATGATCAGTCCCCTCCAAAAAAATTCCAGAGAACTGTGTGATTGCTCAACTTCCAGGAGTCCTTTTCCTTTCCAGGAGAAAGAAACAAATTTCAGGCCCTACAGTTTTCACTCAGCATTTCAACCCAACCTTAATATTTAGCAAGCTTTCCAAATACTGAATACCTACAAACCAACTCTACCAATGTAGGGTTGGATTCCACATTGCCTGTCCATCATGTTCTTGCTCCTCAGAAGAGTAAGATGGGCCTAATTCTGTTTCCAAATGGCCAGCCTGTTTGTATAATAATGGAGCAGCACCAAGTTAACTGGAAGAAGTTGAGAAATAGTATGATGCATACATTAAAATGCTTTGTATGAGCTATTAAGGAGCAGAGAAAATAAAGCTGGTGGAGAAGACAGAGCTCACTGTCAAGATGGCAGAACTCAGTCTCTACAAGCAGCTCCTTGAGGCCAAGTGGCTGTACTCACTCACATGTTTCCTTTTCTGAAACCATGTATCTTCTACTAGCATGAAATAGAATTCCAATATTTAAAAAGTATAACTTCAGAAAACACCAACTTATAACTTCTGATTTTACAGACGACAAGTTCAGAGAATCTTATTTATCACACCGTCCCATGGTAAGGTCACTGGTGTCATCACATTTGCTGTAGTGTGTGTGTGATTTTTGTCTCAGTATAATTTGTTTCCTGTTCCTTAGAGAATTACTTTATTCTTTCTCTAGCAGAAATAGAAGTTTCACATTGTAATATTTATACTTTTTGAAAAAATAAGGTGTCAAAGATTTATCTAATAATAGTTCTTAAAATCTAGCATGGAACTATTTTGAACTCTCACCTGTTTAAGTTCCTCCAATTTGCTAGGCAGATCTACACCTGTAAGAGACATTTGTCAAGTGAAAAACAAACCATTTTAATTCACTTAAGATATGCACTTATGCTCTTAGTAGAAGGCAGAGATCTTTGTTATATGATCTGAGGTTCTCCTCTTACTCCTAACACCAAATACTAAACGTATTTCTAATGTTTATAGTAACGAATTATAATAATCTATATCATAAAAAGTACCTATGACCCTCAGTAAGCACAAAGTTTTTTTAAGTATAACATAGTTCTATTATGAAGTATTATTTATGCACAAATCATAATATTTTACTGAGCTAGAAAAATTATCATGAGGCAATATAAAATGGAAGAGATAAAAATTCTTCATAAAATCCAAAGAAAAAGAAAAATTTCAAAAGCTCTAAGTTTTATTACTCGGGTATGAATTTTTCTCCATTCTATACTTTTAATTACTTTTCAAATAAAAATAAATTTTAATTATGCGATGTTTGCATCATCTTGCTTTTTAAAGTATTAATATTTTTGAGGGTTTTGTGTTTGTTTGTTTTACAAGTTATGAAAAAAAGCTGGAGCCATGGACTTAGGCACAAGGTCTGCCACTGGGACGCATCCCCACTCCTAATGTAGTTTTTTTTTTTAACTAATATTTTATCCAACGAATATAAACTTTAAAAACGCATCAGATGATGTCTGAGAAGGAACCACTCTGTCAGTCGTCACACTCTCTCTTGGGTTGTCCTCACTATATTTAGGGCAGAATATTGACAATTTATGAGGTCATATCTTCTTCCTCAAAGGACTGTTGTGTCCCAGTTGATGCAGCCCGGATGGTCAACTTGTTGTCTCTGCCTCCATTTCAGAGAGTAAAGGAACACAACAGAAAATTGCCAGGCCACTGTGATGTGACTTGATGTGCTTGGGTAGGTTGGTGTGGGGTCCCCTTTTCTGAGGGAAGGGAGATAAGGGAAAGAGAGAGGGAGGGGGTTACCACTGGGATGTAAAGTGAATAAATATTTTTTTTTAACTGCAGTTAGTTGGTGAAATTCCTAGTGGAAACCTATCAACAGAATATTTTTGAAATGTCTGATGTAGAAAATACTACCTATTTTATCGAGAGTCAAAAATATAAGAGAGTAAGATGACATCAGCACTTACCAACTCGTTCACACTTCTCATATAAAATAAAATGTGTTTTTATTATTTTAAATGACTCTGTGACTTTTATCATGAATGTATAACGGTGATCTTTACTTAAGGCTTCTAGATAACATCTAAGGCCCATTGAAGTCATGGACCTGGGAGGAGAGCCTACGGACTCACATTTTACTAACCTGGCAGAATGGCTAACTACATTCTAAATATTTGTCCTTACACCCAAAGATAAGTGTAGTCCTCGCTCCTTGACAAGGAAACTTCTATTTGCAACAGGCAGAGAAAACTCCAGAAAACCACAACCAATCAAAATGTGGTTTGTGGAGCCCAGTGTAGATAGATATGTCTACAAAACATGCCCACACCTAAGCCTTGGGGGATTAAAGGAGGCAGAAGGATTGTAAGAGCCAGAGGATCTCAGATTATCAGTGAAACTGCTATTGTTTTGTTTTTGACAGACATGGTATGCCTTGTTCTTGACTTACCAGTGTGGGAGGGTCTCTGGAAACCAGGGTTTCGGTTCAGCAGAGCCTGCGGCAGTTTCTTGTAAGCGGTACTTTCTTTAGCTGGAAACAACTCATATCCTGTAACAATCAAATGTCAACATGTTTTATGAGTCACTGAATATGCTTCTAGGCCATTGGGATTTGCAGTCAACTCTTGATGCATATATTCACCATTGTCAGAGGAAGAGAGGTGTATACGGCCCAAAAGACAGGCCATTCTGAAACTTATCGGATAAGTGCCATCATCCTGAGAGAGTGGGACAGACATGAACCTGAAAAAGTAGTGGCATGGGAGAATAACTTTACTTTTATTTTTGTGGGTTTATTTTTTTTAATCATCTGCAGCTGCTTTTGAACATATGAAGTAAAGATTAAAAATTGGTTTTTGAGAGAAAAGAGTAACACTTCATTCTGTGATTTTTTGATAAGTTTTATTTAAATATGAGACTATCTGTGTTACTAGGTTCACTTTAAAGACCTTGAGGAAGAGCTAGAATGCTTTCTATTTATCCGTCTACTTCTTTCCATTGTCCTTGATTTACCCCACAGGCATTTAGGGCTTAGTTCTCCACATGTCTCAGCATTATAAAATGTTTATATTCTGGGACAACATACTTCATTCAATCTGTGAAGTATGAGTATTCAAAAACATTTTGATTAACAATGATGCCTTTAGAATAACAATTAGTATAATACAATGAACTTAAATGAAGGCCTAAAAGAAATGAAAAGTTGATTCTTATACCATATACAGTCCATTTCCCTTCCCCATCTCCTCTCTCTCATTGTTACTGCATGGACAGGAAGTAGGTTAATGAGGGTTGTCTACAATAGATGTGTTATCTAAGCTGACCTCAGTGGTTAAAAGTGAAGTTTACTATAATAGTTTCAGCAAAGAAAATGGCTCAGAACCTGACTAAATTATCTTCTTTTTATAAAAAAAAAAAAAAAAATGCCCTGTAGTCATTTATTTATAGAAGAGTTGTACTTAAAACCCTTTACATTTTTCTTTTTCTGTCTTTCTCTCTCTTCTCTCTCTCTCTCTCTCTCTCTCTCTCTCTTTTTACAATTTTAATCTGGATTGAAGCCCCCTCCCTCAATTCCTCCAGTCCTACTCTCCTTCCCTCTTCTCCCCTATCTCCTTCCCCGAATCCACTGAAAGGGGGAGTTCTCCTCCTCTGCCATCTGCTCCTAACTTATCAAGTCTCATCAGGACTGCATGGATCCTCTTCCTCTGTGGCCTGAGAAGGTGGCATCGGCAATGGCAAGTGATCAAAGAGCAGGGAACTGAGTTCATGACAGAGGCAGCCCCTGCTCTCCTTACTTGGGAACCCACATGGAGACTGAAGTGCCAATTGGCAACATCTGAACAGGGTTTCTAGGTCCTCCCCATGCATGGTCCTTGATTGGTGCATCAGTCTCTGCAGGATCACCTGGGCTCGTATATTTAGCTTTGTTGAGGTCCTTGTGGGGGTCCCTGTTCCCTTTGTGTTCTATCCTTACCCTCCCCCCCCCCGCTGCTTAAACACAAACACACACATATTTAAAAATTAGTAAAAATAAATTTAAAAAAATTAAAAAAAAAAAAGAATTACACTGTTTTGCTCTTACTCCTTGGGTGGGGAGCTACATTTTAAATCACATTCTGTGTTTGTAAGTAGAACATTTTCCAAATTGATACAGATCAATTGCTTTCACCTGTTTTGTTTCCAATGATACTGTCTATATAATGTTTGCTCTCAGACATTCTTTCCCGCTTAGAACAAGCACCATTTACAAGAATCTCTCAAGAAAGGGAGTTTGGAAAGATTTTTTAAAAAGCATTATATCTAAAGAAATTAAGATGATAACTGGGAAAAATATGAAAATGATCATGTTTCTGTTCTTGTCTCCATTTTTAACTTGTAAGTTGTAGCTAAAAGCCTTAAGAGAAAAATAAAAAATAAAAAGAACTTGTTCCTTTAACAAACTTCCATGTTAATCATTGAGCAGGGTTACCATCGACTAAGAAAATAGCTGCGTACTAAACATCTGAATTTGAGGAGTCTTTGTCACAAAGGGAGATAAACTGCTCAGCTGGGAGAGAGTGAGTGATAGAGGCACAGAAAATACTGGTCCGTGTCCACTCAAGGGGCTCAGGTCAAACCAGCAGCTCTCTTCTTGCTCACAAGAATGTGTGAAGCTCATAATCAAGAGAAACAAGAAAATTCTACCAGACAAAATTCTAGAAACTTGCCAGATAATAACACAACCAAGATAGCCCATAGTCTTCTTGGCTATGTTTTCCTTTTCTGTTCTTCTGCTCAACTGTTTTCCAGTTTCACACTTTTTGCTAAAGCATGCTTTAAATTTTTGAATAAAAATGAATGAAAGCTAGTAGCACTGCGCTAGTTGTAATGGATATTTAATATTTATAGGGAAAATCTTATTTAATTCTTGAAATATTTAGAACAGAAAAAAAGCTCTACTTAAAAGTTAATCATTTTCAGTATGTTCAATGATTCTGAGATGGAGGAGAGTCTGAGAGAGAAGTCCCCCCTCCCAACACACACACTATGCTTGCTAGAGATATAGGCAAGGCAAGTCACCTTGTGGAATCCTAAGGATAGAGGTGTGGTTTATCAATCTTACCGATGCTATAGAGTCATATATGTGTGTTTATATTTCACAGATTTGTGAAGCCAGAGTTATAATAACCAGTGACACATATGACTGCTGCAAATTCTGCAACAGATCACATTTTTTCTCACATGCTTATGCTATGCCAGAACCACCAGAAATCTTATTTTGCAAAGAGAGCAGTAGAGACCTACAAATGACGTGATTTGGATGGAGACAACAAAATATGAGTGCCATCAACAGAATACAGAATGTATAAGTCCCACCCTTGAGTTTGCTTTTCTGATGGTATTTAGTTGTCAATAAGAAAATGATTAATAAGTATGCTTTATAAATTTCCTTTCTACAGCCAAACATAGCAGGCTTTTAAAACCAGTTATGTTTCATTGGCTTATAAAATCACATTAGGGGTAGCAAAGTACAGTAAAGGTGGATTAGATCCATATGGGAGAAACTTGATCCCTTTTCTAACCTTAATGTCACATGATGTTTGTTAAATTCCCTCTGACTTCCGCCTGTATATGATAAAAATCTAGCTCCATCCTGTAGATTAGATAAAGGAAGGAAAATCCCACAGTTTCAAGCCTAGAAGGAATATTGTTTTAAGAGCAGTATTTTAAGTTATTACTTTTAAAACAAGAAAGCTTACAAAAGTTTTGGAATGTAACTTGTTTGCCTAATAAATCAACACTACTTGCAGGTGGACCAGGTCACAGAGAAGGGGTTATTTGCACACATTGCAGTAACATTTTCCAAGTTTTTGTTACAAGGTGATACCCACCTAACTTTTCTTGCAGCAGTTTTACAACGGTATATTCTTATAGATGCCACAGTTATATTATTTGCTTAGTGTGCATACTATATATTTGGTGACACACATAAACTCAGCTAATACTTAATCCCAGTGTTTGCACCCACCTACAACCCCCCCCAGCTTGCCGTCCTCTCAGCTCTTAAAAGCACATCTGTTATCTTCTACTTTCTCTGAGATGTGCTTTTCATGAGCACTGAGATAATAATCTTGTATGACAGAAGCCTTTTTTATCTTTCTCCAAGGTACTTCCAGAATGTGACTGACTCTACAGCTCCTTACACATTTTAAACCTCTGACCATATATTGCAAATGTAAAATAAATGCCTGCCATTAGAAAAAAAAATAAAGCTGAAGTTAATACTACATTGGGCAAATTTGGCATGATTTACCAAATCTCTGAGAAGAAAAGCTTCACAGAGCACCTTCAATTCAGAATAGCAACTACTTAAGGAGGGTTCGTTGATGAATTTATATTAACTGCCTTACAAAGATATTTCGGTAATGGGAGAAAAATAAGCGAAACAAGCAGAAAGACAAGGATTACTTGTCTTTCTGTACACCTGTACAACTTTAGATTCATTACTCACCCACATACCTGAGAGCCACATCTGTGGCTGACCATTCACACACTTTAAAAGGTCCATCACAGACAAGAGAGCCAGGAGTTCAAAGCAGAGAGAGGTCGAGAAGAGTTTCATATTAAAAATCTCCTGTGTCAACAGAGAAGCTAAAATTTCAAACCACAACAGATATTTTAGTGGCTGTAGAGCGTAGCAGAGCCTGCCTTTTAGAGGCGAGTGTGTTTCAGTTATGAGTCTCCTAGATAAGGGGAGAATTTTACAGAATGTAATGCATCTTGTCAACATGATTCACTCTCTGGAGAAGGGACAGATTGGCTACAGGGTCAATGGCAGAAAGAACCAGATCGATATTGCTTGTATCTGCCCATTTATTCCTACACATGCTCACACAGTCTAACACATGCATAAGCCCAAAGCAGTTATTCAGAAAATAGAATGTATATGTTGAACTTCTGTAAACTTCTGTTTATTTTCCTTGCTACAGGATTAGTTGTCCTGAAATCCTAATGATGTTCAGGTTGAGAACATAGGAAGATGGTAAAAGTTGGACCAATTTCACTAATTTAGAGCCAAGTGGTTATATTCTTAATAGTAACATAACCATCATCACATTCTTAACCGACAATAAGGATGAAAGTTGGAAAGAGCTTGGGTTAAAAAGCAGTGCTGCGCTAGAGAAAGATGGGTCCATTCTGCTACATGCAGCACTTTCTTAAATGAAGGCTCAATTTAATTAATTCAAAGTTGGCAAATGTCCCATCAATTACTCTCTTTAATACTTGCCTTAATTGAGATGGTTTTATTTTAAGTCAGAGTATTTCATTATATCCTGAATGCAGATTTAATGGCCCTAGAGATGCTGTAATGACCTCTAGTCTTGTATTTGCTTCTCCTAAGGGACTGAGGACATATCAGCTCTACAGCAGACTCTGTTGTAAGCGTGCAAAGTACACACAGGATTTAAAAGGGGTATACACCAAAATTTTGTTACCCAGTTCCTTTGTTATTTTCCTAAATAAATCTAAGCTACTCATTTGGATCTCCATGCATGTTCTTCCACTGGTTCATGTTCCAGTTCTAATCTTGACATGCTTCTGGCTGGCTGATGTCCTTTGTTCTCTGCCCACTTTCCCTGCTCATTTCAAAAGACTGATATGCCACCCACTCCAAGATTTTAATGTCTTTGTTCTTTCATCTGGGTCTGAGTTGTGACATTTCTTTCACCCTTTGGACTGTGTCTCATAGTCTCTTCCCCTTTTATTTATTGTATGTCTGTCTCTACTTGCAAACTGGAAAGATTTCCAGAGACATTCTAGCCATTTTTGTCCTTGGATTAAAGTTTTCAATGAATTAAAGAAAAAACAAGGGAGAACATCATGCTTGTTGTGGGAACAAACGATTGCATTTCCGGGTAGTTGAAAAGAAAAAAAAAAATGGAATAATAACCCCAGATTTAGAGCAGATAGAGCGTCCGTGTGAGTCACTGACGGCAAGCCCAACCATGCACAGGGTTTTCAAATATTCTATGCTAAAAAAAATTGGATAGGGAACCTTGTTCCTTTTTATTACTTTATCTATTAAAAGCAGCTGATTCTTTAAAGAATAGGCACAACTTTAACTTTTTAATTTGTTTGTTTCCATTGTCCTTCTGGCCAGAAATGTGGATGGTTTTAATGGAAGCAAACCCATGGCCTTTTGAATATCTCACCGAATTAGTCATCTTCTAGGCAGGAAACATGTTATGATCAACACAATTTAACTGAAAGGCACACAACTGAAAGACTTTTTGCAGGGATGTTGGCAGGACTGAGGCAACTAGCAGCAGAGAGAAGCCATTCCACCCAAGTGCTGCAGGGGCATTGGAAGGAAATGTGACCATTAGAGACCCAGGCCAGTTTGAAGCCATAAAAAAGGAAGCCTGTCGGGCTCTGTGCTGATTATATCTGTCACCCTCACCCTCAGGCTCAACCTACAAGGCCATTCCTTAAATCCTTTTTATTAATCTCAGACCACATAGGATACAGCCCCCATTTCCCATTTCACCATCTCCCATTTCACCAGGGAACTGGTACACAGTAATTGGTAAGTCCTAACCTAGCTTGAGTCCCTTCTGCTCCATGGGGAGTTTCCAAAAACAAATTCAAACAAAACAACCTCCCCCCAAACTGAAGAAGCAATCCTCCTTTTCCCTTTTTATTCCCCCATTGCATAACAGGCTAACTGTGCCTTTCTGCCCTTTTGCCTAATGGGTAAAACCATTTCTGTGCCAGGCCTGCTGGGTTTCTTTTGGCTGCTGGGTTTTATAATCATTATTTAGACTGAGGTATCCATGCTGCTGCCTTTCTTACCTACCTAATGAGAGTCCTCATTTTGCTTTAAATTTTTGGTGTCTATATCTTTCAATGGCTAAGTGGGCTTACTTTTTCCTGAATTAAACAGATTTCAAATGGTTATAAATACTTTTAATATTAATCTAATTTTTGACCTACTCAAAATCTGCTTAGCTGTGTTCAAATCCCTCCTTCCTCTCCCCTTTTATAGCATACCTTATCATATGGGAGCAGCTATGACCTTTACTTTTCTAATTAAAAACAACTCAGTCTTTTTCTTACCCCTGCCTCAATACTGAGGACCTTATATGGTTTTTTGTTTTGTTTTTTGTTTGTTTGTTTGTTTGTTTGGTGTGGTCCAGGACTATCTCTGCTGCTAGGCCAATGGACTGGAAGATAAATATTACCATTTATTCTCCCCAAATCACACTGAGTAAGAGTAAATATTTCTACAACTACAAACTGAGCCCAAACTAAAAGAAAAAAGCTGTAGTGTTATTAGTTTCTCTTGGCCTCATCTTAGCCATATCTACAGGAGTGGTAAGGTCTTATGAATGCTTAGTACTCCCTAGACTTCACAAGGCAAATAACTAAAATAGCCAAGAATTTTAAGCCAGGTACTGGTATTGCTTGTCTTTAAGCACAGCAGAGGCAGGCTGATCTTTGAGGTCAAAGCAAGCCTGGTCTATAGTGGGAGTTCTAGGACAGACAGGGCTACATAGCAAATCACTGTCTCAAAAAAACCTAAACCAAACCAAACCAACCAACTAACCAACAACACAAACAAACAAAAGAAAGAACTTTTAATAATTCAGAACCAATTAAATTCACTTAAAGCAGTCATATTTCACAAATATCAGGTCCTAGATTTACTTGTAATTGCTTACAGCAGAGCCTGTCTACATCAGAATAAGCAAGCAAACAAACACCTTTGTTTTGAAAGTAAAAAACTTAGAACAAGTACAACAAAATCTCCAAAACACCATTAAAAACACTAGTGATTTTTCAAAAGCAAGGAATAAAATGGAGCCTTAGCTGCTGATTTTTAAAAAGATTTATTTTTAGTGTGTGTATGTGTACCACATGTATGTGTAATGTTTGCTGAAGCCAGAAGAGGGCATCACATGCCCTGGAAATAGAATTACAGACAATGGTGAGCCATCTTGTGGGTGCTGGAAACTTAACCTAGACCCTCTGCAAGAGCAACAGCTACTCTTAAAAACTAAAGCAACTTTCTGATCCTGACTGGTGAATTTTGAATAAATGTCTATGGGCCTGTGAGTTGGCTCAAAGAGCGAAGGTGTGTGCCTTTGGTCCCTGGAAACCAGTGGGAAGAAAGAGTGACCCCTTCCAAGTTGTCCTCCGTTCCATCATGGTTAGGTTTAGCATAAGGAAAAAAGAACATAATATAGATTCTGTCATTTTTCTCTTCTGATTTTTTTTTTCTCCTGGTTTGACTTAACAGGAAGCAAAAACAAGGAGCCCCAAATGATAAGTCTATGGATATCAGTCTCCCAGGATAGATCTTGGTAGGGAAGTGGAAATAATTTAGGGATAAGGAAAGAAAAGAAGAGATACTGTCATTATACATGTTCTCTCAAACTGCAGAAAATTAAAAAAAAATCCATATATGGCAGGACAATTAAAAACACCCCCAAACGTACTTGCTACATAGCTTCCTTCTTCACAATTTATGGAGTGCTCTATTACAGGGTTGTACAAACTTTTCTTGTAAAGGCTTTGGCAGTGCTTTAGACCATGAGCTTAAAGAACAATATTGAAAAGCAATCAGATTTTTAAAAATCATTTAAAATGTAGTATTTGGACAGTTATAAAGTAGTCACTCAAATTCAGTGGGCTGGGTTTGGCCTGCGGACAGCAGCTTGCCAAACTCTGATCTAAAATTTGCTGATTTCCACTTTAATTTTTTTTGCTAACCAATTTTAGTGTCAAGTTAAAACCGTATGACTTCCTCCTGAGCTCTCACACTAGGATGCTGAACTGAGACAGAGAGCCAGCTTAAGGCGGTGGCTGTAGCCACACAGCGAACTTTGACAAGACGCTGGGCTGAGATTTCCCCCCTCCTGCTAAATAAAGCAAGCGGCCCAGTTTTGCTACTGTGTTTCCATCAGAAAGTGCCCTCTTCTAGGCTTCCTCTGATTTGGGCTTATCTTCAGTTTAGTTTCATTGTCCGCTAGTGAGAGTGCCCTCCCACTCGGGAGACAGAACACTAATTTGCTACCCTGCCCTTTATGTAGCAAGCCCAGGAAAGGATTCTGCTCCACCCGATTTGATCGCACACCCACTCATTGATAAATACGCACGACTTGTGGACTAATGGACTGAAAGATAAGACCAGGGACAGCGCAAGTTGAGGACAGGAATGTTCTCCTTAGGAGGGAGAGGCAGTTCCTAAAGGAGAGTGAATGCTGTACCCTTGGGATGAAACAGGAGAGGTCGGTATTTCAGGGAAACACAAATGTAAGAATTACAGACCAATGTGGTGTGGCATGTTAGAACAGTGGGGAGTCTGGTACAAGTCTCTGTCACAATCTCCCCGCTCCCATACTGAACGTCAGCTATGGTAGACATTTACAGGTTTTTGTTGAATGAATGAATGACCCAGTTCTCCTCGATGCTTGCGAAGATTCTTTTTTCCAGAAAGGCCCAGAATTTAATTCAATGTCTTGTATTCTGGTTCCTTTTAAAAAGAGGAATAGGAAACATATACAAATGAAGTAAATATACTCAAATATTAATATAAATATATGTATATATAAATATACTCAAATATATCTCTATATCCACATCTGTTCTATCTATATACTCAAAACCTACTAACACTAGATAGAGGAGCGCCTGCTTGGCACTCAGTAAGCATTTTACACAAGTCTTAATCACAGAGCGCAGCTCAGACAGGACTTATCCCGGCGCCTGACTGGCAGGTGCAGCCTTTGGTCCGGGCCTTCAGGACACAGCTGCAGCCGGGGCTGGGCGCGGCGGGCACAAAAGCGAGGAGGAGGAGGAAGAAGAAGAGGAGGAGGAGGAGGAGGTCTGGCTCGCGCGCCTCTGTGTGCGGTGCAGCCTAGCAGCTCCCGCCCCCACCGCCGCGGCCGCCGCCGCCTTTCTGTCTCCTCTCTCCCTCCGTACTAGACTCCGGTGCATTTCCGGCCCGGGGGAATTCGGCGGTCGAGCGGGTCGGGGCGAGCGGGTGGCTGCGGCCGGCCCGCGGAGTGGGCGTGGGCCGAGGTTTCCGAGCGCCCAAGGCCGAGCCGCAGCCATGGCCGACGTGAGCGTCGATCAGTCCAAGCTGCCGGGCGTGAAGGAAGGTAGGCCGGGGCCGGCGGGTTCCGGGGCGCGGGGCGGAGCGGGAGCGCGGGGCCCGGGGCGCGAGGCTGCGCGGGGCGCGGGGCGGCGAGCTGGCCTGGCCTGCCACGGACTGCGGAAGGCCCGTGCGGCCTTGTCCTGCGCAGTGGACGCCTAGTGTAGAAATCACAGCCCAGCCGGGATGCCCAGGGACAGGGATTGGCGTTCAGAGTGGAGCCTTTGTTTTGAAACATGACCCTCTCTCTCCCTCCTCTGTTCCTCCTGCTCCTCTCTGCTGCCTTTTTTCTTTATTTTCTCCCTCTTTCCTTCTGTCTCTCCTCTCCCTTCTCCTAGGCTACTGTCTAGTTGGCTCTTTCCTCACCTTCCAAAAGGTTTAAAATTGTAGGCTTGGCATTGCTTCAAGTGGATGGTTCCCAAGCAGCTGTAAGTCCTCTCTACCCTACCCCAGTCCGCGTGCATGCATACACACACCTCTTCTTTTTTAATGAAGACCAGACTGGGGGTGAGGGGGAAGCTTGCGACCATGGACCCTGTTTCGTTTTGTTTTGTTTTGTTTTGTTTTTTTCCATGGCTCCCTTTATTGAAGTCCAGGAACATGAGGATGACTAGTACTGTCCAGGCCTAGCTAACTCCAAACAGCCTTCATCACATGCCCCTGGGCCAGCAATTTTTTTTTATTTTTTTTAATTTTAGTTGCTGGCTCATCTCATTGTCACTCTTTGGCCCTCCCATATCAGGAAGCCCTGAAGTTCCAGACTTAAGTATTGCTAAACTTAAAATGTTCAAGAGTGCTCTCGTAAAGCCAGAAGTTCTGCAGGGCCTTTGTTGTGGGTCTCATTTGTTCCACCTGGGATCTGTGGCCAACACTGTTTGGGGGGGGGGGGGGGCGTGGAAGTAAAAATACCGAGTTTTGCTTTCTTGGGACTTAGTTTCATTGCTAACTTAATGTGACTCAGATGGTCTTGCTCTCAGGCCAACGTAGAAATCCCAAGACAGCGTTTGCTTGTCTGCCTCTGCCCTAAAATTTCAAAGGAGCACAGTGGCTTGGGGGCCAGTGATTTTATGTTCAGATTGCAGTAGGCTTGGATCTACTACTTTGTTGCTAAAGAGTAATAATGGCCCCAGGCTGAGCTTTTGGTGTTAGTGTTTTTCCATCCGTTCTTGTTCCTAGCTTGACTTTGGTTATTACAGTTTTTCATTCTCTGAGACTAAGGACCTGAGCCATCAGGAAGACAGATTGGTTCTTCACCGTGAGACCTGTTCTAGAGCTTGTTTGTCTTTTGCTTTTGGATAAGGGCTTTGTGTGCAAGTATGTTGGTCTTATGTTGGAGTAAATTCGCTAGTACTCTCCTTGTTGGTGGGTATCCCAGAGAATGGAGCTCAAACAAAACCTCAGGGGCATAGCTTCAGTGCCCTCCCCAGCCTTCCATCTTGTTTCAGTGACCTGGAAAGAACCTGTGTCTATGTAAGCTTTGAAACCTTGAGGTTTTCTGATTTCTTACCAAGACATGTCTAATTTGTGCTAGTATTTTATTTCTTAAGTAGTTCCACACTTTCCATCTAAATCTGCAAGTTGTTTTTTTTTTTTTTTTTTTTTTTTTTTCCTAAACAAATTGGTTTTCATTCTGGATAGCATATGCTTGGCAGCCCTATTTATCTATTCTGATGAAGTGACATGGACATTTAGTATGGCTCTTTCATGTGTCTTTGTTAAATTAGAATTTGATACTTGCTCACTTTGAAGGAGATCAAAAGCTGTTGGGATCATTGTCCTTAACACCTAGCACCTGGCTCTAAGATCATTAAGGAGCACGATGGGTTTACTAGGCGTGCTCCCACAGTAGTGAGGTTTTGATCTGGGCTGTATTCAGGTCCAATGACTTGTATCTTTCATGTGATCCTTAATTATGGCCCAGTTACCATCTAACAGTATCTTTTCCCTAATTAAAGAGAACTCCAAGATGCCCATGAAGTAGGGCATGTCCTGCGCTGAGTGGCCCTGAAACTCACAGCTTAGCCCAAGTCATTTAGTAGCGCTTGCTTTGCTTAATATTTTGGATCAGATATTTGAATCTTTTGTAAAAAGCCATTATCTCTTGTGCTTTTCACTTTTCTTTTGAATGTAAACCTTTATGTACAGTTTACATACAGTTACATTTGACATTGTGGAATGAATTCTAAGACCAAGAAGAATGTGGGCATGCGTTTCTTCCCATTTTGCTTTCTTTAAGGAAGGTAGGGCACTTTGATATTTGCTGTATCAAAAACAAATATCAGGGTACTGGACTATCTAAAAATCTTCTTCCCTAGATTAACATTTAATGCTTGTGTGTTTGGTTTTATGGCAGTCATAGCTTCATTGGAACACCCCTTATAGCATACACAGTTGGGAAGTGTGTGTACTTTTAAAAATAACAAACTAGGAGACTAAAGAAATCTGAGTTTATACAAGTGAAAAGGGCTAAGTCAGTTAAATGTCAGTACACACCTATTTCCTAATCAAAATATATTTGGAACATCCATTTTCTCTTTAAAGGCAAATGTATCTTCTCTGTCACTCTTCTCTTTTCTTTCTGTTTAGTAGTTCTCCAAATCTTATTTTGTTTTGTTTGTGTTCTTATTGTTCAGGATGGCAAGGCTCATCATTCCTCACATCCTTAATAGTCTGCCCCCCCGCCCCGACTCCTCCTGTGCATGTGTGTAGCAACATGCTTAACATCTAAAACTCGTGCACCTGGGAGCTAGTTATTTTTAGAGTATAGACCTTGTTTTTGAAGTTATTTTATATACTAAAGGATAAAATTTAATACAGTTTTAGAAATAGCTATACAAAAAAGTCACACCTGGAAACCACTGGTTGTTTTTCAGTCTCAGACTCTCAGCTGGCATAGTGGTGTAAATTAAATTATTGGTGTAACTTCAGAACTTCAAGAGGAAGACAAAATAATGCCTGCTATGATGTTTATTCAGTAGTTCCAGAGATCCCGCACTTACACCTGCCCCTGGGCAGCTGATGTGGTATCAGCATTTGTCTGATTCCAGGGACGACTTTGCCTTTTCTTTTTTCCCTCCCAAGTTCCACAGCAAAAAACAGCAGGTTGTGCTGTTTTTAATGAGACCATGATTAGACCTCTTTGAAAAAATTTTCTCGCTTTATTCTCCTCATGTAGATTCATGGCTTTTATAGCACCAACAATTATTCAGGAAATCTTTAAATATGTGAATGAATGAATAACTGAATGGGAGCACATATTTTATATGTTCCCTTTCTGTTTTAGAAATTCTGTTTATAACATAACTTTTAGATTCATTCTCAGGCTATAGGCTTTTAAAGACACAATTTCTTTTAATTATGTATATCACGTACCAATAATGTCTCCACTGAATTTACAGTCACACACACCTCTTCTACATATACACATACATATATATTTATGTAACTATATATTAGTAGAATTCATCTAATATAAACATATAAAACATACAGAAGAAATTTTTTGCTTTACATTCTGGCTTTGAAGATGATACTAGAATAAGATTATACCAAAAATGTTATTTTCTTTACATACAAAGCAGTGTTATAATTTGGGATCTGTATGGACAGCTTTTTTTTTTTTTAATATATGTATGTTTTAAAATTTTATGTGTTTTAGTGATTAGTTTGCATGTATACCTTCACCCACCATGTGGGTGCTTGTCCTTGGGGAGCACAGAAAATGGTGTTGGAACCCCCGGAAATGGCTTTACAGATGGTTATATGCTGCCACATGGGTTCTGGGCTTACAGAGAGGGATTCTGGAAGAGCACTCAGTGCCCTTACCCTCTGACCCATCTCTGTGCCTCCAGATGCAGATTTAAAAAAAAAAAAAACAATTTGCTCCTTGCCATATAAGGTAACTCCATAATAACAGTGCCCTGGGCTACATGGCTGTGATCTTGCTTGCGATTTATAATGTGCTGAGTTGTAAAGAACCCTCCAGATTTAGCTGCCTGTGCCTGCAGTCTCAACAAGCAGGAGGGTTATAAATTTGGGGCGTTCTTCAGCTACATAGACAATTTTTAGAAACAAAACACCTTATACACGTTTACATTCATATGTGTTCTAAAAATACCTCTGGCTTAAGGAGGCAAAAGCCTGTCACTTTATTGCAGTCTGCAGACATGTAATAGTTTCTTGAATGAGTAAGTGTATTTTTTCCCCAATGGGTATGCTGTTTGTAAAATAGAAAACAACAGCACAAGCAAACAAAGCACACAAAACCCCCTCAACAGTCCTGCAGGTACAGAGAATACAATTTCCATTTAGAAAACATAAAAACTCATTGTCATTTTTAAAAAGGATAGAGTAGAAAGCACTAAAACCTACATATGCTGGCAATGTAATCCATCAAATTATGAAAATTTGGGGATCAGACAGGGGAAATGAGTAATTGTACTAAACAGGTGAAGTTGTTATTGGGATTTGCTGCTGGTTCAGTCTTCCCTCCTTTCCTACCCTTTCTCACCCTTTCTTCCTTCTGTTTTCTTGTGTAGATAGGTAAATATAACTTCTGAAGGTCTTCATTAGTGCCATCATGTTTAAAACACTGGAATGAAAATTATGAATGACAAGACTGTTTCGTGGATTTTTCTGAGGAGGTATTTTGGAGATGTTTCCTGTGTTGCCTTATAGACTTCTTTTTTAAAGTAACATTTTTTTTCTTTTGAGAGCTCTCATGTTTGAGGAAATAAATTGAGTTATTGAAAGTCACCTTCCTGTCTTGGTCTTTTTTTTTTTTTTTTTTTTTTTTTGCTTGAAAACACACACACACACAATTGTATACTCAGCCTTCATGAAAGGGTCAGTATTTACGGATTTAAAACTAACTTTTTAAAGACATGAACTCAAGGGAAATCATAGTTCCTGGTCTTTCCTTACTTCCTATAAGCATTTTCCAGATAAATGAATTTTTACTTCAGTGACCAAAAGTTCTTTGAGAGTGCCATTGGGTGAAGAATTTTA